TGTTCTTTACCTTTAAATGTAATTGTTGTCCAATTTTGGTTGAAGTTTTGGCACAAGGGTGTGCAACGCACTCTCTTTTTGCAATGGCCCCCAAGCATGCACAGCAATGGCTGGTGCCGAAGCCACCTATGAAAAAGGAGCATGTGGCTCAAGTTAAGCCTGACATATGGTTGGTTCAGAAGAGGACGCTGAAGAGAACACCAAATTGGAAATTGGAGCGCCGCATTCAATATATGATGGCTAGCGCCACTGGTTTGCATTGTAAGTTCTCCATTGTGCCCACTGTTTCCTCTAATTTGCTTCGCTGCAGCTCAGGAACTTGATCCTGCAAAGCAATTTGGCAAAGAACTTTACATCGCTTATTGCAGAAGGAACCGCCTTCCAGTTCCAATCGACTCTGAGAGCTCAGGGTCAGACGGATCCAATACCATTAATGCTGTGCTGACCGTTTTGGATTTCCAACGGTATTAATTTGCAACATGTGTACAGCTCAGAGGTTTCTGCAACCCTACACCTCCAGAAAAAATCAAGAGCTGCTGCTCTTTTGAAAGGACGATGTTGTGAATTTTTCCAACGCCCCTGACATTTCTGAGTGCTGAGAGATATAGACATGAGTTTTTTCAAGATAGTTTCTTTGCTAAATCTGATTGAAATTCATGTTGGACATTATTCTCAAAGCGCTCCTAGATCATGATAGGATATATCCTATCATGATGATAGGATACATGAATAAGACCATCTATCTTAATGCAAGATATCAGCTTAATATAAGATAGATATCTTATTAATAAGCTAAGAGGATCCTTGGGGCTCTGCATAGGCCTTGGTCAGGGATCTTCCTCGACATACCCGGATTCTATGTCCGGCATTTCGGAGCATCATCAGGCTCTGAAGTTGCATCTTCGTACAGGACTCGTGTGTCATCCCAGCGTCCACTAGGATTCGCACGAACCCCTGATGACCCTTGATCATCTCAACCATATCTGGCTGGTCGAAACTGTACGCCGTAACTCGTACGGACGCTTTTGGGTTCTGCTGCAAAAGCTCAACAGCGCGAACCTGCGCCTCCTTGTTTCGGACGTACTCGATCTCCAGGGTTTGGGCGGCGGGAGCGTTTTCCAACCCCAGCTGGACATTCAAACCAGCGGTTGCTTCCTTTGCCACCCGATCATCTGGTTTCAACTCCGTCTGACGAGTCATCTTGCTGACTCCCCCAAAACAACCAGATTCTGACCCCTGCGAACCCGGAGGCGACGACGGCTTCGACCACAGTTCCCTAGCCTTCTTCGCCACCCCTTCAAAACATACCCTCTTTTCACGGGTCGCATTTTCCGCGCCCAACGCCACTAGTGAGGCCGCACCTTTTTCTGCCGCGGAGCTTTTGGCGAGCCTGACCTCTTTCTCAGGATACACCTTCAGTCGACGAGCTTCTCCTACGGCCGAGTCAATGTGGCCGCAAACCCCACTGGCGAGGTACGCCCTGCAAGCGCATGCCCCTTGGCCATCCTCTCCGATCCAGACTCGGTGGACACCTCTTCCTCCAGTGACCTCCCAAGTCGAACCTCCGGCTGACTTCGAATTCTTCGAAGACTTTTGAGCTCCAAGAGACGGGCTGGCAGGGAGTTGCCATGGCTCGACTTGACCAACTTGTTCCGGACAAGGTTGCCGAGCCACCACACAGGATCACGACAATCCTTCCTGTCACCTGGACAATCTCTACCGCCGAGACTTCCTCAACCTCGGCTATTGTCCTCTGGGCATAGGACGTGAGCGCGTCAACAACTAAGAGGGCAAGAAGGAAAGATAGGCGTAGTTACGAGGCCCCTTAGTTAAATGAAAGTAGAACGCGAGCGGGACCTTTTGTCTTAAACCGCCCGGGTAGCTAGCAATAGAGTAGGAGAAACGGAAGGAAAGGCACCAACGCACAAGTGTGTTGAGTGCGATTTCCTTCCGTTGCCCGAATAGCGGGCGGGATAGCAACCGAGGCCCAGGGGTAGGGAGGTAGGGGGGAGGGTGGGTTAGGGTGGCCTGTAGGCCTTGCCATCATTGGCTTTCAAGTATAGCCGATTTGGGCCGGCGCGCCCCTTCCCTGAAAGACACCTGAAACCTAAAGAAAGGCCTCAAGAAACGAAAAGCAACAAAAGGAGAGAAAGAACCGAAGAGCGTGAAAAACACATGTAACAAAAGCACAGTGCGTGAACCCGCCTGTGAATACTTAGACGCATGTTTCCATGTGAATCTGAGGTGGGAAGCACAGTGAGCCCTGCGGCATAAGATCAGTGGTATCGTGCAGCACGGTCGATCAGGAGTATGAATCACAGTGGGCCCTGCGGCATGGTATCCCCCAGGATCTGGGTCTATGCACACGCTGCGCCCCTTGACGGGGATCACACCACAGCCCTCAGTGGGACCCTGTGGCGAAACACACTGAGATGGTTGCTCACAAGAGCTAGTATCGGTACGAAGTTCCCCTTGACTTGAAGAACCGAAGGAACGATAACCGAAAGGTGGCCGGGCCGGGTCGAAGGATTTGAAGATGTTTAACAATGTTGCAAAATGCGTTAGCCGTATTACTGCAGGAAACAACGCATTGGACAGCTTGTGAACAGTTGGAAAATTGCAGGTACGTCGATTTGGCGTCCCAAATCGACTTCACAGACCAATGCAAGCGTCTTTGTTAGTGCCAGACTTGCATGGTCCCTGGCACCCCCTGCCTCTTTTTCTGCGTCAAGAAACTGTAAGTTAGTAGCGATACCAGGAGCCCCTAGTAGGAAAACCAGGGGCCCTAGTAGCGTCCTTTACGACTCAAAACCTTAGGCACAGGTGTGGACACACACACACACTTGAGAAAGAGCTCTTAAGAAAATAAATCAGGGCGGCGCCAGCAAGGCGTTAATGCAAGAACGACCTCAAACACCGGCAATCGCCCTGAGCAAACAGAGAGGCAAAAAGGTCGGAAAACAGTATAGCTTACACCGCAAGAATTCGGCAGGTACACAGTCAGACGTGTCTGAGCACTAGCTTCGTTGGCCAGCGTCGTGCTGCCATGCGCTGACCCCTGCTTTCGAATTCATCATTCGAAGTGAGGACAACGACCCTGGGAACGGGTTGACGCGCACACACGCACACAAAGAACCGTTTGTGGCGCTTTGTGCGAAAATGAGAAAGGACGTGGCATGTTGGCAGTGTGTGGTTGGTGTGGAAACCTGCACGCCTGCCAGCCTAAACTACGACGTAAAAAGCCTTTAGAAAAAAAACAGACAAACAGACAGACAGAAAGAAAGGAACGCACACAAAAAACAACAACAAAATATATATAATATATACCATTCAAAAAACAAAATCAAGACAACAATAATTTAGTGACAAACTAGTTGACAAGGTTGCCATGCCTGAAAGTGAATATATACATGAGTAAACTCAAAGCAGTGAAACTGATTCAGTGCACTCTGCATTTTTGAGTTGCTGTAATCCAGTAAGCTCTGCGGTGAAACGAATGCTAGAAACTTCTGTGTGAGTTTTTTGCTATTAATAACTTCTTGCTAGTAATGGCCTCCAACCTAATAGCGATGGCTTCCACCTAGAAGTTTCTAGCCACTAGTAGCTTCTTGTTAGAAGAGACTTCTGTAAAACAGCCTGTAGATGAATTCGGGAGGGTGAACTCGAGGAACAGTTCTGCAAGACAGCGCTCTTGAAAAGGATCACACAGCATACTGCAATGGGAAAACGCTGCGCGAAACGCTTGAAAAAGAGCTCGTAAAGTTCTAGCTAGTGCGATACCAGTCGAGTGCAAAAACGACCGCAAAAACCTACCATGACCCTGGGCAAACAGAAAGGCGAAATCATCAGAAAAGAGTATGGTTGCTGTGGCGAAATCAGGAGCACTTGAAGCAACGCTCATGCCAAAATCCTGAAAATGTGAACTGAACATTGTGGATCGAAAACCGAAACTTTTAAACAGTTGGAACGGTTCTGATGGTGAAATACAGTGAACTCTGCAGTCTGTATTCAAGAGTTTGCCCAGTAGCTCTGCAGCATATTTCAGGAATGCAGGGTGAAACGAATTGAGGTAGAGAGAGGTCAAGCAATACAGGCGCATCCCAAAGCTTCCAGGCAAAACTAAGAGAACATTCTGCAATACAGCGCTCCATAAGGGGATCGCACAGCATACCACAGTGGGAAGATGCTGTGGTTTACACTGGACAGAGCTAGCAAGAGCGAGGTTCAAGGTGGTCTCAAGAGTGCATTAACACTTTGCAATTTGGTTACTGCAATACCGGAACTGGTGCCGAAAGACCTGAAGCCTGCAGACCTGAGAAATGGCCGAGAACAACAAGTAACAAGTAAACACGCTTTCCATTACCGCGTCAACAAGAGCAGGTGCTTGACTCTGGCATCCCAAAGTCATATCGACACAATGGAAAAGTCATCGTGCGGCAATGCTTCCCACACTGCCCATTGCCCCCCTGCTGCTTTCGAATTTTGCGCGCCAAGCCCAATGAAAGGAAACTCAATTGAAGGAAACTAGTTTTGCAATGTTTTGCCACTGTTTGGCTGCTTATCAACATGTCGCAGGACCCCGAAAAAATCCGCCAAGATCATTGGTGAGGTGGCAAAGACCAACACGTTGAAATTGCCTTCAAAGGTTCTGGAAGCATCCAACTTTCAAATGATCGAGGAAGGGGCAGGCCGTGAGACAACCAAGGATGCCCCACCCTCATAGAAGGAGAGAGCCAAAAAATGGCATTGTTCAGAAAACTACAGCTGGGTTCTGCGAAGCAGTTGGACCTTCAGAGAGCTACAGAAAGTCCTTGGCCAAAAGCGTATGGCTCTTGGACAAGGCAATATATTTGCTTTACAAATATAGAGTGACACTATCTGTGAAGATCGTGTGAAAAGAGGCGGTATTGCATTTCTTGTGAAAGGTTGCAGTTCTTAACTTGTGGATTCCAGCGAAGCCCGAACTCCCATTGGTCGAGGTTTTTAGACATATTTTCCGGAGCTTTTGCAACAAGAACGGGCATTGTCATCCTGGATCCCGCTTCTTGGCATGGTATGTGTTGATTTTGCAGCAAAAGAGTCAAAATTCGATGTTTTGGTCTTTAGCCAAGGTTGTTTGCACCCCAATGGAGTGCATTCCATGGACCGAGATTCTTGACGAAGTCACTTCAATGTTCACCGGAGCCTGGTTGCAAGTGTAGAGCAGATTGTTCCACATCGCTGCCAAGGAATATCATTTTGCTTTCCGAGCCTTGTTTGCAAGAGCTTTGTTACATGGGGTGTCTACTTTAGTTGTCCAAAGGTTGAGCTAATGAATGTGCAGTGCAGGGTGAAATTACAAGTGTATCAAATTGTTTGCCGTCATCAGACGCAACATAATAACGTCGTCGTATTTCTCATCTCAGGACAGCTACAAGGTGAGCCACTGGAAGCAGTACCCACCAGGAACACAATATGTTTACAGCTTCTTAGATGCAAGCAGGTTTCGAGTGTCCTGTCAATTGGATCGTTCTATTGGACTCCTTAGATACAGCAACCCTGTTCCCAGCTCAAACCGTACAAGTGAGCTGAAGCATGCTGGAGCAAACTTTTGTTAACTTGGAAGGCTATTTTGAGAGCCGTGGGTGCGACAACGCTGGATGGAATGAAGTGGTCTTTTTCGGGCTGCAGCAACTTGCTGAAGTCTTCAGGCTTCGACGCTACCTGGTGCTCCACGTTTACTGGGCTTTGTTTCGCCGCTTTTTAGTTTTAAATTCGAAAGAAATGAAATGTTATTCTATTATTCGAAGCTTGAAGCGGCCTGGACACCTGTTGACTAGTGGAGCGTGAGGTCATTGGGCACCCATTCTTACTGGCACTAAGTCACTAAGTCCATGGTTTTCAAAGTTCTGAGGTGACTTTTACCTGACAACTTTTTCTTCAGACTCCCACATTCCGCTTTCGGAAACTATGCCTTGGCTAAGGTACTTCATCAAGCGCTACTTGCTTGGTCCTGTCGTCACCAAGGTGGGAAGACAGAGAACATGAAGGAAGAACTGCTGTTCAACCATGCGTGACGTAGTTTGGCCACCTTGTGAAGTTTCGCCGAAAGAGTGCAGAGGCTATTCCACCGCACTCACAACTCTGAATTCAGGACAAGATTGATGAGGCTGCTGAAATCTATTCTCAGCACTTTGGAGATGGGGACCCTAGGCCGCACGTCCAGTGAATCTCAACAGTGTCCCTGTAGGATGGACTTTCAGACAAGTTGTTTTGCGATCCATCACTTTCCCTATCCAACGTCATTGCCTTTTCTACTCTTTTATGTTTCTTCATTGCAGTTCACTTTCCAGCCCTAGATCCAGATGAGAAACAATCATAGCATTACAGGTATCATTGGGGAGAGTTCAACCCAGGTGAATGACAATCCTTCGATGTGCCTGGGATCAATTTGCAATGTACTGCGCTTGTTGAACATATTATGATATCATGTGACATGTGTATGTATATATACTTATGAATCATATATATATATACATATAATATAGCATCAGACTTGATTGGCGTTCGTCAACAATCATAATATCCATCAAGGTTCTACCGCGAAGGCTGGGAGTACATCTTGAAGGAGCATGGTGGCAGGCAAGGCGCAGACGCTACTGTCTTGCTGAGGAAGCCCGTGCCTGCGCTTTATATCAGATGGGAGCGCCCGCAAGAAATGTTGTAATCTTGGTGGTGTGTTGTGAGTAACAAAGCATTTGTGAATGTAACAATGGACATGAGTCAGAAGGGAAGTTGAGGGTGGGATCATCTTTCATGGCTCTGTTGGGCCATTTTGGCTCAAGAGTTCACGAGGCGTCCACTTCATGGCCCAACTGGTCAGGGGGGAGAGGTCAGCCTCCACACGCCAGGCTCGGCTGGGCGAGCCATTTGTCACCTTATCGGTGGCGTGCTTCTGAGCACACTGCTGGTGGGGGTGTGGGTGGGCTGGTGACTCCATCGGTTGTGGGCGTCATGGAGTGAGCTTGCCTGGTGGACTCGGATTCCTTGGGCAATTCTGACACGGAAAGCCCTACGGTTCATCACCAAAACACATGGAGGAGAGCTTGGTTGGCAGTGCCAAGCCGAAGGTTGGCCTTTGAGGGAGAACTCACTCCCCCTGAGGGAAGCCGTGGTCAATGGCGTGTCCACGTTGGCAGACGTGGCCGATTGGGCTGGCGCCACTGGCGAAGTTCATACTCAACTCATGAACGCCTTGGGAACACCGGCCATGCTCAGGGACATCGCATGCAAAAATCCGCGCACAGCGCTTCGCTCCGAAGCCGAAGGTGCAGTAAGTTGAGGCAAAAACGGTGCCACTGTGAATTTTCATTGCGTGTCATCAAAGCTTTTAACGAAGATTTGCTCATGGCTCATTGTGCGCAGCTTTTCTCCAATTGACGCCCTGAAAGCAATTTGTTATAAAGCAGGCGCGCCGTGCAGATTGTGCGATTTTGGTGTGACTTTTGCCTGGCGATGTGACTTGCTCAAAATCGCCCGGCCATGGTGTTGATGTGACATCTGCCCAGCAGATGTGACTTAAGCCCCGCGCAAGTCGTTGGCCCACGGCTGATATCGCGCCGTGTGGTTTCAGGCGGTTGCAGTCCTCACGGTGGGTGGGGGAATAATACCGTTTGTTTTCGATCCACGTCGTTTGGCAGGGGGCCTCGATTGTCGCAGTTTTGTAACGATAGGTTCAGAAGACGAGTTTAGCGCGAAGGAGACATGAACAGTGGCAGTAGAGGCAAGGCCTCGGGCCACACATAATTGTTTTTTTTATGGAGTTGCTGTAAGCGCCGATCGCCCTACAGAAGTGAAAGTTTGCTTGAAGCTTGGCGGGGCGGATGTGTCCTTCACCATGAAGTGGTTTAGTTCCAGGTAGGAGGGTGAGGTCGTAGGAAGGAGAGGCTGCCAACTCATTGCTTGAGAGGTATAAACTTCCAAGATCTATAGACCAAAAACTTAGATTTGGGGGTGTACATGTTACTAGATGTAACAGAAACATATATCTTCAACGCAGGCTGAAAGTAGTTTTCAAAGCCACGTTCCCTGACATGGAACGCAGTGGCCAGGAGTTTCCGCGCCCTAACGTCAATAGAAATACGAATAAAACCAGGCTTCCCGTGAAATCTGTGTTTGGTATTGTTTTAAAACCACATGGAAAACAAACACGTTGACAATGCCACCTTTGATTTGACACACGGCGTAATATCTGCCGTGGACCTAGGTGTTCAGAAAGGTTCGAAAGGTATACGGTATACTCTCACAAATTTTCAAGTAGCAGCGCCACTACTGGACGTTAGCAATAGTGGCGCCAACGCTTCACTGTGAGTGGTGATTTGGCCATGATTTGACTTGTTGGCAACACTTTTGCTGAAAGTAACAATTCTGGCTGTTTTCACACATGTTTGATTGTCAGTACCCAGGCTGGTTGGCGTGTGCTTCAAAGAAACACTTCCACACACCAAGGTTTTCCATTCGGGGCACACGAGCGCAAAACGAAGAATCACAGTCAACAAGGAATGCTTTGGTCGCAAATGGGTGGACGTGGCAATAAACAATCTGTGTTGCAAGAGGCAACATCCGATTCCATGCTTCACATGCGTTGCAGGCTGCCGGTTGAAATCAAGGCTGTTCCAGAAGGACTGCCGGACGCAAAGTTCACGTTTGAATTTGAACCCTATATTCCCTCGAAGTTTATGCTACCGCACTCGTCCTGGACATCACCTTTACTAAGCCTTGGGGGAATGAACTTAACATGAGCACCTTTGTTTACTCATCTCTACTCATCCATTTGTATAAAAAAGCAATTTGCTGTACAACTTTAAAGATTTTGTACTTTCAAGGTGCCAATTTTGTGCTGTGTGTGTACACTTGGGAGTCATGTGTGAACGCACAGGGAACGAGGGTCCACGTTATACAGTATTCGATCTGCAGTAGACCTTGGAAGTTTGGACATGCAAACGGCCCTGCAGCCGACCGCTCCTACGTCCTTGCGTGACAGATTGGAAGAAGATTGCTGGTGTTTGCACCGATTTGCGACCATTGCCAATGAATGTTGAACCCTTTGAAAAACTTTGCGTTCTCGGTCTAGCTCTCCTTTCGATGAGACGCGCTCCGAAACTGGGCGACTTGGCGAAACTTTGCGGACGATGGATCACGACACACCACCGCACTTTCTCGTCAACCTTCTCTTCACTTTGCCCTTTCCTTTTTCCGAACTAAAACCCTCCATGTTGGAGACCAAAAGGAATAGACCGGGACCCTGTTGTATCCTCTTGTTTGGTTTAACTGACTTCAGTGTTTCTTTTTGCGTTGCGTTTTACAAACCTTTCTCATTGTGTGTGTGGGCATGCGTGCGCAGCGTCGCGCAGCTAAAACAGCTACGCCGTGTATTTCGAAAGTCACTTTGTGGCTTCCATGTCTTTCCGCGCTCGCGCAGTCAGTCGCTCGCGCGCGTCCGAAACCTTCAGCCCCCATTGCAGAGCAGCGCGTAGAAGATGGCTGCGCAGGAATGGTCGTCCCTACAAAGACAGTGCTCTTCACGTTGGTCAACACGGAATCTCAGCTTAGCAGGATTAAAAAAAGGCCTTTCTTTGCTGCGAAGGACTGTTTCTTCCACCAGACATTTTCAATCAGTTTCATATGGCGCTGCTGCTCTTGTAAGTAGCCGGAATCTGCGCATGAAAGTTTGTAGACGAACTGAGGACCCCAAATGCTTTTGGTTGACCAACTTCCTGGAGACGCTCCTGGTTCAGGCTATTTTTTTCGTGTAATTCGGCCTTGTTTGTTTGGGTTGTTGCTTCGCAGTAGGTTTGGTATCCTATGACAGTGGCGACCCAGAGCCGCTATCAGAAGTGTCTCAATAGCATTTTGTCACAAATTTCTACTTCGTATTGTTTCGCTTCAACTGCTTGCGTGAGGACGTCGATCGCCAAGTACATGGAGGCAACCAGAAACTGTAAATCAAAAGTTTGCTCGGATTCGCAGCAGTATGTCAGGCAATGCAAGGCTAGTTGTGCCGCAAACCTGACACGCATGTTCCTGACATTCTCCAGTGAGAACCCCTTGCTCTTGCAGGAGACAGGTAACGAGCAGTGGGATGTACCCAACGGCGTGAGACGCTCGCCCTGACCAAGTTTTTCTTGTTTACCTCTGGGGAAGCAACAATTTATTCTGTGCGACGTGCCAAAGAGAGAGCTTGTTGGCAACAAACTGCCGAAGCTTAGTCCAACTCCCTCGTGACTTCAACTGAGCAATCTCTCTTTCTGTCTTTACACTTTCTGTCTTGAAATATATAGCTGTTGCTGAGATAGCAACTGGCAGCAGGGGCTGAGGTTGCAGTGGAAGGTGATATGCAAACAGGTGGTGGCGTGTAGCCAGTGTACTATCTCTTGGGTCCCGGCGCGGAAAGTCCAGGTTCGACCTCCTCCTTGTTTTCCACACTCAGCGTTCAGTCGCAAGCACCCCTCCCTTGAGTTGGGCCGAAAACACAGGTTGGATACACGCTCAGGTGGCATGAAACTCATGTTTATGGAGTCAACTTCACACGGAGGGAGAGGCCTCGTGCTTGTTTGAAGCACGCGATCGTAGCGCCCAGTGCAACGGGAGCAGCCTTTGGCTTCATGAGCAGAGCGGCGCGTGGCGTTCAGCTTCCATGTGGTAGCAGGTGCCTCTTGTAGTCGCCCACAATGATTAGTCGAGCAGCATCAAGGCAGGTTCACTTGGTCTTTGTTGAATCGTGCATCATGCAGTACTCGATCTCGATACTTTGTGCTAAGGGTTTGCAAGTGTTCCCACAGCTTTATTCTTTTTTCTTTGATCTTGTTGTGCTCTTCCTGCAGGTTGTTGAAAGCCTCAATGGTCCGTTGGCGGTTTTGCGTGATAATCTCAATGATTCGCATCACTTCTTCAGGCTCTGAACGAATGATTCGATTTTGGGCTTGTAGATCACTGGCTCTCCAGGTCCATAGCCTGTTCAATTCGTTGTTCCCATTCTGCGAACTCAGACGTGATGTTTGTGTTGGTCTCGGTTGCCTCATTGTCGTCAGTCTGGGCGCCAGCCTCGGCGACATTAATTGCGAAGGGAAAATCATTTGTTTCCGTAGCCACATAGTGGCGCCCAGGAGGAGGACAAGAGGAAGATGGACAGCGTGTAGGTCCATCCATTTTCATCATCGTGGTCTGAGGTTTTGTTGATGTTGTGCGTGGGTGGCAAGTGTGGTTGTGGTTGACCCCAAAAGAAACATATATAGCTTGCGTAGCCCATCATTCCTTCTTCGCTGCAAACATCTCTGTTTTCTTCTGTTGTGTCTTGGCATCTTTCTTCTTTGCGGCCTGGTAGGTCTCATCGCTGTTGACTATAAGGCCAGATGGGTTCGAGGCCAATCTGCAAGGAGTTGTGAACCATCCACCTTGGTCATCGCATACCCGGTGGACCTGGGCGTTGCAGGCCTTGAGTTTGTTTTTGCGCGCAAGCGCTTCAGTTGCCGTTCTTTTGTCGGCCCCACATGCTGCCTGTACTTCCTTTGTGCAGGAGGTCGATCAAGGCTTTGGCGCGCAGGAGGTGTTGTCAGCAGTGGTAGTTGCTGTCGGTAGTCATAGTATAATCTCCAACAGGCGGAAATGAATAATGGCGTCGGCGCGTTCAGAAGCAGCTTACAGTTCCGCTCAGAGAAGTCGAGGTTGCTGCTGTGATCTCCAACCCATGAGATTGTACTCACGGGTGTCTCCACCCATGGTCTTCTTCTCAACCATCATCGCTCGGTGGCCATCTTCGCTCGCTAAATCTGCCCGGCTAGCGAATGAAGCATCGCCGTAGCGGCAGAAGGAGATGTCTTGCGGCTTCTTCTCAGGTGCCGTGTGTGTTGATGGCCATCAGTCCACCTAAGTCCTCTCAACGTTGCTGTCTCTCTTGTAGGCAATTTGGACTGTGGTTCCTTTTGCGGCGCTCAGGCAAAGCAATTTGCTTTATCTTGTGGAAGTAGCGCAACTGGCGCAAGAAGACATTACTTCTCTGTCTTATCTTGCGACCGCAATATTCGAGCTCTCCAGGGTCTCGCACACATCCTGAAGGTGAGCTGTTGTTGAAAATTCTTCTTTCACCTGGGGGAACTTAGTGGATTGCGTGTTGGCTCCAGCGATGGGGTCGTGAAGGCAGATTCCAAAAAGTCAAACCAAAGCACCCTGCCAGCCTGTTGTTGAGGTTCGAGCGAGAAACACCAATCATGTCCTCTTCTCGGGCTTGGAGATGAACTTCAGGGGCGGCGCGGCCATTTGGCTCCAAATAGATGGACAGATGCCCTCGTTTAGCTTAGGTGTTTGCTCAGTTGCCTCATTCGCCATCAGCTTTTATGAAGTTGTAGGTGCCAGCGTTCGTTCACCTCGTGGCCTTGTCTGAGTCTCCGCCTTCCATGGCCCATCCTTCTGCTAGCCCACCTTGATTTCAAAGTGACGTGAGTGGTCGGCCCAAGAGGAAAGCTTGAAGGCGGCCAGCTGAATGTCATTGACCATGGTGGGGAGATGGACACGAAACCGCTAGACTCTTAGAGCCATTGTCTCCGCCAAATTGGAAGATCTTGTTGGCGGATCGGAGGCGGGCGTCCTCCAGCTTGACTTTCTGTGTTAATGCCATTGCCTTCACGGGGTGCTTGTGCCAGTGTCCGGGATGCCATGGATCTCCCTTCTCGTCGACATGATGTAGTGAGGTGTTCTGCTGGCAGTCATCATTGCAGCTTCACCCTTTGAACGCTTTGTTGGCGATGAAGTTTGTGAATGATGACTTATTGGAGTTCTTGCGAAGCCCAGTGTCCTGCTTGACCACACTGCAGGCAGTCAAACTGTAGCGAGTAGACTGTGTCCGATTGGTCAGGTAATAGGAGGGTTTCAAACTTTTCCATCCTTATTTCTGTTGTTTTTGCAAATCTCCCCTTTTGTTGCTGTGGAGGTCGTATGAGAGAGCGCCGTTGTTGCGCTCGATGATCCAGCCATTGGTGCATCAGCGCGCGAAGGAAAACGCGTCTCAACTCCTGACACGGTCAACAAGTTGATCGTGGCCTCTTTGCCCTTGTGCTGGATTGCCATCTTCTTGCCACGCAAAAGGATGCGGGCTCTCCATTCCTTGTGGTGAACTCACTTGTAGTTCTTGGTAAGAGCAGCGTGAAGGTTATCTTTGGTCACTTCCAGGCCCCCCAACGAACACGCAGGGAGCCCAAAACCGCGATAGAGGACCGCCCAAGTTGAGGATGTCCTCGGGCTATGCTTTTGTATGGTGCTCGCGGCGAGTGAGATTTACGACGCTGTATCACAAAAACTCACGTCAGCTAGCTGCAGATTCACTTGCCTTGTGATCAAGATTGGGTTGGGGATGACGAAGGTAATGGGCCAGCTTGTACCCAATTGCGCTATGGCGCCTGGTCCTTGTGACGGGGTTCCTTGGCTTGGAAGACGGGCTTAGCAGCTTCTGACGCCTAAGCGTGCCTTGTTTAGCTCTTCCGTCGTGTGCTGCCAACGATGGATCAAGTCTCTGGCGAGCAAAGAGTAGAGAGGGGGTGGAAGGCTGTTAACGCGCAAAGCTTTCCTGAATTCGAATTTGAGAATGGGAACGCAGGGACATAGTAAATATAGACTTGCTAATACAAACGTCTACTCAAATATGTGGTTGTTTTCTGTAGGGCTGGCTCTGAGCTTCTTTCACCAACTCGGACAGTCTTGACGGTTTGGTGTTGAGAAGGATTAATTAGCGTGGATAGTATGGTTTAGCTGTATATCGAGTCTTTGGTTTCGCATATGTTTTGCTTTGGCCGGCTTGTGGCTTAGCCTTCAAGCTGCACGACTTCGGCTTCCGCGGCGTGTCCTCTGTGGAGTCAGCAGCCATAGGCGGCTGCGCGCATCTTGGCGCGACGCGACTTGTGATTTGCGCGGCGTGGTGTCGAATGCGTAGCGAAGGGTTCTCGTTTTACTTTCTTACCTTGAGTCTAGAGCGTTGTTCGCGCGCCGTTGCTTTCACGTCCGCGACTGTTCGCAAGTTCTTGAATGTGATCGATAAGGCCCTGCGGTTGACATCGGGAAAAGGTTTTGGATGGAAGGCTGAAGGGTCAGATTCGTGTGAAATACCGTAGAAACGCAACTATGTTGAAGTGTGGAGGATGATTTTGCTGCGCAGGTGCAGCGCTTCGTGAGATCCTCCGTTGCCTTTGCGCAGTTGGGATTGGAGTTCGCAGGGCGGTCTGAGTCTGTCGGAATGACGTTTGGATTTTGCGTTTCGAGCCGCAGCGTCGAAGCCGTGTTTTCGCGTGACAAGTCCCATGTTAAAGCAGCGATTTTGGTGGATGCGAGTCGTGAGTGTGCTCATGTGTCGAAATCATTCCAAACGTGTGGTGTGGCGCTGAAGACGTGAAGATGTCATGTAACGTGGCAGGGGCAGTGCTTTGTGCGTGTTGGAGGTGTCGAAGTTGAATTTTCGGGGCAGGCGCAGGGAATTGTGAGGTCCGAAGCTGCTTGGCAGGGCTGCTTGATCACTTCCCGCTTCACTTCGGAGGACGTCTCGTACCAAACGCTTGTTTTGGAGAGTTGAAGTGAGTTGGCGCTTGACTTGTGGAGGAAGTCTTGCGCGAAACGCTTGAATTCGAGACTTGTTTGCAAGAGTGTCCTGCAAGAGTTTTCCACAAGAGTGGTTGCTACAAGAGAGTGTGCTACAAGAGATTTACAAGAGTGTCCCGCAAGAATGCCCACAAGAGTGTCCCACAAGATTGTCTCCTACAAGAGTGTCCTACAAGAGTGTCTCGCAAGAGTTTCCACAAAACTGTTTGCTACGTGTGTGTGTGTGTGTGCTACAAGGGTGTCCTGCGAAGGTTTCCCACGAGAGCGTTTGTTACAAGAGTGTCCTACAAGAGTGTCCCGCACGAATTTTCCACACGAACGTTTTCTACAAGAGTGTGTGTTACAAGAGTGTCCCACACGAGCGTCTCTTACAAAAGTGTCCCACAAGAGTGTCAAACAATGTTTGGCCGTTTGTTTTGGAGTGCGTGTGTGCATTCGAGATCGTCAGTTCCATACTGTTTTATTTGTCCTAGTCGGTTGGTGGATAAAGATAACAACAGACTACTGTGCACAGAAGTTGGCGGAGCGAACAAGACGATACCAAACCGAAACTCTGGGCCTCAAGGCTTTGGTTCGTCTTGGGTTCTTTGTGAAACATATCTTCCGCGCTTCGCTTCGACCGTCTTCACGACGCTTAGGCACTTGGTGAACTTTCTTGGCACTGATACTGTAGCCTCCATGATTTGTGCCCGTGACTACTACGGCTCCAAGAAGGCCGACACGGACCACACCGGCTGGGTGTGGTTTACAAAGTGTTTGTAACAGTTTGATTCTTCAATATTGTTCACAATTCGCCGAGATACGCCAAATTCAAGATGTTCCAAAGTCTTTGCTGCGCCACCTTTTGGTCGCTTCTGCACTGCAAGCAACACGTTGCGAGTTGCATAAAACACACAGGGTTACTGGCGACATTCCCCTCATCCTTTCCATTCGCTAGCAAAGCGGTATGTTTTCGTTGCAAGTGGAGCTGCAACCGTGGAGTTTGCTTGCACATACGACTTATATAGTACTGAGATTCGCACTTTGTCACACCGCGTGTGCGCTGCGTGTGAGAGGCTGCGGGTGGTTCCATTCCAGCTTCAGAGCACTCGACAATCACATCTTGGGGTGTTGATGGCGAGTGTGATGCGATGAGGCACAGTGGTTTTGGTTTTTGTTGCACACCTTTGCAGATAAAGGTACACACCTTTGATTCGGGTGTGTTCGGCCTTTCCTTTCGGAGCAACATGCTTGCATATGCTTGCCATTGCAGATCAAGTTGCAGGAACATGTTGGAATCCTATCCCGAGGGCTTGGTTGCATGCGCTACTTGGCTGGTGCAATTGGTGCTCTTGTAGTGTTCTGGCCTAGAGCCCAAACTCGTTTGCACAATTTACGGTAGGTATCGCAAGATTCAGGCTTAGAGGAGTTTCGGTGAAGATCAATTGGAGGATCGAGCTCCCCAGGTATCTGATTCATTTGACATTTGGCGCGCTTGCAAAGACTACTGGGGCGACAAACTGAAGGATTTGATCAAAGGGCGCACCTTGACAGCCTTTGGTGGTGCCGTGGTACCATGAGCAACGGTTGGGCACGCACAGTTGTTTGTTTCATTTTGTTTTCTTCCCATACCGTGGGCCTGGTGGGTTCCTTCTTCTCGATTTATATATAATTGCACCTTTGCTGCTCTTGTGATGTCAGTTTAAAATATTTCATATGATTTTATAGTGCTGATCGCTGCTGATCCCACTCTCCTACAGCCTCTCCGGCTCATACCCGTTTCCTGCGCTGATAGCTGGTCTTTCCGACCCCTGCTTTGCCGGGCTCATTACTGCCCATGGTTGCCAATGTATCCTGGCACTGCTTGGCGCAACCGCGTGCAGCGTAACCTTGGGAAATACATGTCACCTTTATCGATGCTGTTTGCCGATGCCAAAGTGCACGGCTACCTGCCTTGCTATGAATCAAATGCAATCAATGTTCACCATGTCATCTCGAGTTAGAGTCATGATCAACTGGACTTGCTTTGGAACAATTTATCAATCCTCGTCAAATGTTTAGAGCCGTGGTGAGCCGCGTCTCCATTTGTCTATTTGGGGTTTGTCAATCCCAAGAATTACTGCCCTCAAGTAGTTGAAGACAGACACTCGAGAAGGCATAGAGTGGTCTATCATGAGTCTATTTATTTAATTACTGTATCTAAGAATATCTAATACGGATTTTACGAAAGACTGACGGATGTCGTTATGGTCGTTGGAAGTTTCAATCAATAGATTTCCCCGTTCCGCAGAGGTGACTGGGAAAGAGGGGTTTGAATGCTGTGCTGTATCATACTGAATCTATTCATTCGATTAATTCTAATTTGGACGGCTGTTTGGTGGGGGCAGCTGCAAATGCTAAGAACGAAACTGTTTCAGAGAGCAAGGGTTTCTCACACTTTCATCGTGGGCCAAGGGGCCTTTCCCGTTGACTTGTTGAGCAATTTTTTTCCCCAAGGCATCACCGACACGAAGTTCGGTCGATTGGTGGTCCGCCCGGACAGTGGTGACCCTGCTGAGACATGCTGCTCAATCTTGAAGCATCTCGACTAAAGACAGATCGAAAGCAATCTGCAAGTTGTAAACCTTTCTATGCGCATTGAGAACATGGGTGCACTGCACAACCCCTTCGAAATCATACTTATTGATCTTATTGCCAATTATTATCTGCTCCAGTTCTCCTAAGCCGGTTCGCGTGCATTGTTTTGCTAAGGGGTACCCTTTCGCGCCTGCGCGGTAAACGCGGTAAACACATGTCTATTTAAAAAAGAAGTTGTTTAACGTTTGTACCGCGCGGGTGGTAAAGACAAAATTGGCGACCCCCCCCCGGTAAAAAGCGGTCACAACAAGAAACATTTCGACTTTTACCGTTTTTTACCACGCAGGTGGCAGAAAAGAAAAAGGGGGCGACCCTCCGCGAAAAACGGTTAAAACAAGAAACACATCGATCTTTACCATTTTTACCGCCGGGGTGGTAAAAACAACATGAATAAAAAAGGGTTTCCCAACAGGAAACCTTATCATAGTCGTTTTAGCGCAACAAACACGGCCGCACCGGCCGCATCTTTACTTTCGCAGTAACAATAAACATTTCCAGGACTAAGCCGAGGTACCCCGTGGTTTAAAAAAGCACACAACAAAACAATTATGTACTCCCTCAAAAAACACACCCGAGTAAGAACGTCAAATAAAACACATGCTTTGCAAAAACAGGCAAACCACGCGGAAACAATAACAGAAAAGATATTTGATCGCGCTAATCCTTTAAACAAACATGGGAAAACAACGAATACAACAGGTAGAAATGGCACCACGCATATGGTATGAAATATAAACTACCCGCTCGCTCGGGTGGTCCAGAAAAGACGGTAAAACGTTTCGTTCTTTACCGTTCTTACCGCGCGGGTGGTAAAAAAACATTGGCGACCCTCCGCTAAAAACGGCAAAAACAGAAACAGACACATTTCGATTTTCACAATTTTTTACAACGCCACGCACATGGTAAAAAAATAGCGAACCCCCCGTACAAACAGTAAACACATAATATATCGTTTTTTACCGTTTTTACCCCGCGGGTTGCAAAAAAATATGGCGACCCCCCCGGTAAAAATGGTCAACACATAAGACATTTGATTTCTACCGTTTTTACCGCGCGGGGGGCTACGGGTGAACCCCGTAGCCCGAGCAACACCGCTTAACCAGCACAGTTTCTCCTGTTGAGATGTTCTTGTGTCAGAAGAAGCAATTGTATGCAATTGTTAGATCATGTTAAGATGCTAAGTCTGTTAACTGGTTGATCACAATCATACACATGTTGAACACGTTTGAACCGCAAGCAAGTGCTGGACGGTGCTTCGATCATGTTAAAAAGCGGAATCAATTCTGGACTCAGGATTTTGCTGGAGCAGTTCAAGGCTTCAGTCTTCAGTGTGCATTGTCATCACCAATGTTTTTCTTCAATCTGTTTGAAACAGGTCATTCCTTCTTTATTTCACCGAAAGACTGGACCTAGGGACCTAGTGACCGTGTTGCACATGCCAGGAGGACGTCACAGAAACCAAAACAGGACTGGAATCTTTGAGAACTCTAAGTTTTGCTACCAGGCTGCTACCATCAGCTATGCTATTTGTATCCATGCGACGACCGACTTACCTTGGCCTGAAGGACACAAGCTTCTTCCGCCTTACATTCGTGTCATCCAGGACTGGCTACAGAGCGGTCTGAAAGTTGAGCTGCTGTACAAGTTTTCATTGTTTAACCACGCCCTGAAAACCAAGGAAATTATATGATGTTTGTCAGTGGTCCGTTAAAGCAAAGGCAAACCCAGATACTATTCAGCAGTTTTGGAAGAGTTATCAGGGCGATGGAGTGGACTGGGAATCCATCCCCAAGATCCTTGAGAAGCTGAAGAAGGAGAAGATTGCCGCAGATGCTTGGCCAGGTCCTGCGGCATTGCAGGGCAATGTCAAAGACAACTTGAATGGGGCACCTAATTATCTGTATATTGGATATATATATATATATTAATTCTTTTCAAGAGGGGGTAGGCCGTTAGTAGCTAGAGGTAGCTAGTAGCCTACTTGAGCTACTAGTATGCACGCAGGATTAGCTCACGCTTCTTTGAAGAAGCGCCCGCACTAATGATTTGGTTCCTAGATTTTTAGGGAAACTTAGCTAATGTGACACCAAAGACCAGTCTGTATATTCTTTGCACCGTCTGCTGGCACCTGCGTTTGGATTCATGGACTACTGCAGACTGGCCCCTTTTTTACTTGAGTTTCGCCTCCCACCGCTTCGGGTTCGAAGGACTCACCAAGAACTGCAGTTGAATGTGACACAACCCAGGAATACGCAGGACACATTTTTGGGACTCCCAGGGCCTAGAGAGCCAGGCTTCACCACGTCCCTTCATATCACTGCACGTGGTCTCAACTCAGCTAATCTCGCTTTCTCTCAGCCCAATCTTCTGTTGCTTCGCCTCATTTGATCTCACAGAGCAACCCATGAAACTTGAAAGTTCTGCTGTGTATAGCACCCCTACCATTATGGTGAACATGATTCATTTGCTACTGTACTTGCTCAAGATGGAAAAAGGCCGCACGATCTTGAGGGTCTTGCGTCTTGTTGTGTTGCCTTTTGGGGTTGGTTGTTGCCACTTCAAGTGCTTACCAGCCGTACTGGTAGGGCTTTGATTGTTGGTGGTTCCCCCTTTTGCAACTAATTACATTTCATCACCGTAGCTCGAGCCTTGATGGACGACCGCGATCCCCCTCAAGAACCGGAGGAGCAGTTCGAGCGGCATCGTGGGATCCGCGGCGGTCAGGCCACAAAGCTTAGACGTGATGCCCATATACATCCGGAACGCGGCTGCAGTTTGGGGCGTTCCGGAGGAGCCTGTGCCTGTGTACCACACTGATGGTCATTCTCGTCCTTTGAACACCTCTAGATTTTGGGAAGCTGAGCATTCTGAATCGGAGAGTGACGAGGGAGAAGACTGCTATGGTGTTGCCAAAAGCCAGGCCGCTTAGTCGAGTGAAGACTGAACTTGTTCGTTTGGTTCCTTGGAGTGCCCTTTACAATGAGAGTTGGAATTCCCCGGGTTCGAGTCACGCAGTTCGGAGTCCGTATTCTCACCCTCCAGAGCCAGATCACCCGCCACCCGTCTTGCATCCGTGGAGGAATCAGGGTAGATCGTTGAGGAGTTGAAGAAGAAGAGATTGGTGTGTCTGCTGAAAGTTCAGCCAACTTGGTTGAGTCTGCTGAGGGATCAGCCTTTGTTGAGTCTGTTGAGGAGTCAGCCCCGCACCGATTTTCAGTACACCTCGACAGGATACTTCAGAGCAAGTTGAGATTGGGGATTCAGAGACCATTGATTCTGCTGAGGGCTCAGCCACAGGTGTTTCTGCAGAGAGTTGTGTGTCAAGGCCAGTTGATCCAATTGCACAAGCAAGGCTTGCGTCGGCGCTCAGAACATTTCCGTCCAAGCCATCATCGCTTGCAGTTGTTGGTGAGTATCGATCCATTCATCCAGACAGGCCAGCAGTTGTTCTCAAGCCAGCTTTTTGAGTGGTGATCCGACCTGCCACAGTGGCCATTTGTCCAGCAGTTGGAGTTTGGCCGCCTTCCAAAGCCGCCAGTCATCAGTGCCAGGAGAGGGATTTTCGCATCTCCCAAAGCCACTTCGTCTGTGAGGCACTTGCCATCGCCCAAATCTGGAAGTGATTGTTGTGGAGGACGAGCCAGTTGAGGAGCACGAAGTTGAGATTTTGACAGAGACCCGTCTTGCATTGTTCCATCCATCAGTTCAAGCTTACAAGTTTGTTGGAAACAGATTGCGGAGGGTCCCGTTGACCAATGTTCCACAGCTTGGTCAGCGCATTGTCGCCTATTTCCATCAGGTGACTCCGACAGAGAGTCAAGGTACAAGAAGACCTATCAGGCCGAGACTGGATTGCCGCCTCGACGCATTGAGACCAGTCGTGTGTTGCACGAGCTCTTGCAGAGCCTTGGTGGCATCGTTGACCTCGCGGTCTGCTCGTTACCTCGTTAACCTCAGGTCGCGCAGGTTGAGCAGAGGCTGAAGGTCAAGTATGTATGTCTTTGTGACTGACCGTCGCTGTGGTGAGGGAGGGAAGCATCATTCATTGCGAGCATTGACCAATGGCGTGTTGCTCATTTGTGATGACGACGTGGAGATCGTCAGAGAGTTTTGGGCAAGTGGGTCTGTTGGATTCAAAAACCGAAACCTGGATCCTACGTCGCTGCTCAACGTTACTGCAGGGAGCGTTTGAGCGCTTTGTTCGCCAGCTCCGTTGCCTCCTCCATCCGGCGCAGCGCCAGCTCCGTTGCCTCCTCCCAGTGTGGTGCCAGCTCCGTTGCCGCCGCCGCCAAGCGAGTGATTGGTCGCAAAAGGCACCAATCTTCGATCGTTCCAGCTTCGTTCCAGCCATCCAGCCTGCCTTGCGCCTGTCCGGCTGCGACAGCGCCTCAGGAAAAGAGCCGTTCTTTCGAGGGGAAGGGGAAAGGGTATCAGAATAGTCAAAGAAGTGGTTCAATTCTCCCAATCATGTCAGAAGAGCAATCGTCATCGCTGAATTATGTTGCTGCTGTATGCGTGTTCGAAGTAGATCTCAATCGTCGGGAGGTTCTGCAACACCTTGAAAGAGGCAGCAAAGTGCACCTCGTCGTTCGGTGTCCAAGGCTCCGGTGAACCGCAGGCTTCCCCATCCAGTTCACCCTCAATGCCTGCTTTGACAGATTTCCGTGAACCGTCGTCCAGCGGACTTCAAGCTGGTTCTTGAACCTGACTTAGAATCGGTTCGGCCGCTTAGCGGTTCAACAGATTTTTCCTTTGCGCGATGAAAGGGTTTTGAATTCAGTTCAGGTAGCAGTCTTGGCTGTTGATCCGCAAGAGTATGGAAGATTGGTTTCCAAGTCTCAAAGATTGTTGAGTGAGCCTGAATCAAGGGCTCAGCGTCTTGAGGGTATGTGAAAGGAGATTTACCAACAGGCTTGTGAGCGCATCAACCACCTCACCATGGTGGTTGAAGAGTTGAGGGGAAATTTGGATACCCTTCAGTTGGGACGCCATGACAAGGACACCATTCTCGCCAGCTTGAATGAATCAGTTCGGCAAACCAAGGCAAAGCCTGGAAGACCAGATCCGGTTCGCCAAAGATGAGGTAACCAAGGTGACAGAAACCAATGCATACACCACGAGCCTGTTGGGCCACAAGGATTCAGAGATCCGAAAGTTGCGCAGTGAGCTGGATCGTTTGAAAGATCGTGTGACGGAACTGGAGGCTAGATTGGCTGCGTCAAGCTATAGCGCCCGTCCTGTTGTCAGAGCTGTTGAAGAGTGTGAGGGCAATCCCTGAGCTTCAGTTCAAAGTTCAGGGTCGGGGAATCTTGCGCATGATTGCCAGGCACTTTGATCTTGATCGCTCTCGTGGTTCCATCTCACTTCGCGCAGGCTCGCGAAATCTGTTTGGCTGGAGCGGGTGCTTGTCGCGACTGCGCTCTCGTTGTGGCGCCACGCGCGTTTTCGGACATGTTGGTCACTTTTCGTGGCAGGCGTACGGGGAACCTCGTGTTTTGGCAACGCAAAGCCGACTTGTCCAAGGGATCGGAGCGGCTTTATTTAGTTCGGATTGCAGACCCCGTGGCAGGCGCAGCACTTTGGGCATTGTGTGGTGACCTTCGACGCGCTCTAATTTCTTGACAGGGGCAGTGAATCGTGACTTCACGCATGTGGTTCCTTTTCAGAACTCGTGGCAAGCGCAGTACTTTGCGGCAAATTTCGCGGCGCGCGCAGCGCTTTGTGAACCTGGAAGTGCAGATTTCGTGGCATGCAGGCGCAGCGCCTCGAAGTGCAGATTTCGTGGCAGGGGCAGCGCTTTGTGAACCTCGAAGTGCAGATTTTGTGGCAGGCGCAGCTCTCGCATCCTCACTCTCACTCTCGCACTCTGTCACTCCCACACGCTTAGGATAGGGTGTACTGAACTGAAAGCGGTGCCACACGCCAACCTATCGCTCTTAGGTTAGAGGCCATCGAAGGCAGGTTGAGAGGCCATTGCTAGGAGGTTGGTGACAAGAAACTACAAGACAGCAAAGCAGTCAAAGTTGGAGGTCTTCGCTCTTAGGTTGGAGGCCGTCGAAGGCAGGTTGAGGGGCCATCGCTATAGTAGGTTGGAGACAAGAAACAACAAGACTGTCAAAGTTGGAGGTCTTCGCTCTTAGGTTGGAGGCCGTCGAAGGCAGGTTGGGGGCCATCGCTAGTAGGTGACAAGAAGCGCAAGACAAACAAGACAGCAAAAGTTGGGGGTCCATTCTAGTGGGTGGAGGCCAAAGTTCAGGTTAAAGAACCCCTTACAAAGTTTGGAGGCCTACCTACCTGCAACCTATAGGGTCGCGGAGTTGCTCTTGAGTGCACTTGCTTGTTTGGAGAAGACGGACAATCTCCTTGGCTGACTCCTGAATGGCCTCGTCGAAAGTGGAGAGCCACGTGTTGATGGCGGGGATGGACCATCCCTCCGGGACCTGATCCTTGAGTGAGGGGTGGTGGCTGAATTCTCGTCGTCGGCCAGTACTGGAGGTTTTTTGTGGTTCGGGGAGCGTGGATGGAGTTGATGGGGCTGCGCCGCGGTTCTTGGTGTCCTTGCGGGCTGTGAGTTGCAGCCCATTGGCCATGAGTTTAATAGCGTGTGCTCGAGCCAGGTCCTCTGTTTTTGCCTTCAGCTCACGACTAGCAGAGCCCTCGGCGGCAGCGGGAGCATCGGCTGCGAGGTGATTGGTGACCAATTCAGCCTGAGTGGTTTTGTTTGGGATCTCATTGCCCTTGGCTCGATGAAGCGCTTCAGTGGTGGCATCGAGGTCGGGCCGCTTGTCTTGCAGGTCTTGAAGAAGGTGCGTGCGCATGATAAAGACCGATTCAGCAATGCTGCGAGTCGGAATGAGGCCGCAGTACTTGCCGTGGCTCAGGGTGCGAGCCGTGAAGTCGGCTGCGCCGTGCGTGATATAGGCAAGGAGCCAGGGGTGGGGCGCGAAGAGTCGTGAATTTGGCGGCTCGAGGAAAGGAACGGTTGCTAGAGGTGTAGGTGCTGTGGTGGGATGCGTTGGGCTGTGGGTGAAAGAAGTATTGGTGGGCGTCACTGGTCCTGGTGCAGAAGGTACAGTGGTGGGTGCCGGAAGTCACGGGCCCGTGGGTGTGGGTGGGTGTGTAGTGATTGATAGGGGGCCGTACTGAGTGGGTAAAATTGGAGGGGTCAGTGCTTGGACTCTATCTGTGTGCCAGCCTACCAGCAACCTATCCAGGGGGTCTGTCCTCCAAAAAATCAACCCAAGTAAGGAGTGGATAATTTTTTTGGGGGTGGATAAAATGGTGTCAGTGCATCAAAAATATCCAGAATAAACGCTCCAATTTTATCCACTCGGTAGTGGGAGTAGAAAAGGAAAGAAAAGATAGAACATCGCTCGTTGGACGTTCGTTAGATTTCCGCTCGTTAGATTTTCCGAGCTCCATGGACGTCGTGATCACAGAGAACCAAAAAATTGTCAGCGAAACTTGCCAACGGAACGTCAAAGCATCAGTCACCGCGGGCTTTCAACTGCTCCAGCAGCTGGAAGCACTCTTGGTCAGCACCTTTCAGCTCTGGATCATTCTCAGTGGGACCCTGTGTTTCGACATGAGGAGTCTGAAAAATAGTGGTGGGGCCTCACGGGATCCTGCACCAGGTCTTCCATGAGATTCGCAGCCTGTGAAAAGGACACGTGTGAAACATGTGCGTCCTAAAAACAACCTGGATATTTTCCTTGGTACTGAGGTTGGGGAGATATACAAATGACAAGTTGTGGGACACGCTGAAATTAATCTTCTTCTGCTGCTTCTGCTAGGTCTGGAAAGCTTTCAAAAAAAATTGCTCAACGGCAGCGAATTAAAAAAAAAGGTGCGCTGACATCTGGACAAAACAATTTCAATGCAGAAGTTCCGCTCAACAAAGAAGCTGCTTCCCGGTCGCTCTGGGCATCGTAACCCTGATAAACTCCCGCTGGCACTCCAAAGTCCAGAGCGGCTGTCAAGTCCACAAAATACCGGCCAAAATGTACAGTTTGACCAGCGCTGCGGAAAGCCCCCCCTACAAACCCTTGTCAGTGTCGGGGCAGCCCTTGCCTGTTGACTGAACCACACCGCTCAGCAGTCTCCACATCCCCCCCAGCATGCAACGTTTGTTTCAACTGCGCTGAGCCCTTTGTGCAACTCGTGCAACCTACATCGAACGCGCCGAGGCCATCTTTGCTACCCGTCCAACACCCAACGATCTCAACAATGGCGAAAGCGCTTTCGCCAACTGCATCTGCTGCCGCACGCTTACCACTACCACCATTTCCTCTCCCCCCAACTCAGTCTATGTGAAACTCTTCTTCAATATGCACCACATCGATGTTATCACCAACGTGGCCATTTCTATATTGGCTCCACCGCCATTGGTATCCCTCACAGGGAACACAATCGACGTGCAAAACTCAAGCAACATTCCCATCTCAGCCGAACTCTCTCTTCGCTACTGGCATACCCACAACACCATCGACAAGTACACCACTATCCAACTCCCTTGACATGACACTTACGACCAAGCCTGGATCCACGAACACGACCATATTTACCAACTGGATGCCACCTCTCAACTGGCCTTTCATTTCCCATGACCTCAAACTCAAAGCCCAAGGCTGGCAATTCGCCAAACACAGAGCACACTTTTTCTCCCGCCTCAGTGAACCACACTAAACACGCAGCCGACTCCTTCGGAGCTGCCAAACAATTGCGCAGCGGCCGCCACACTGATCTCAAGATGCCATTCGCCGCGTGGCCGCCAACTTGGAAGAACCAGGGCGCACCAAAGCCCTGCAGATAATTATTATTCACAAAGCCATGCGCTATCGCAATCTTACGCCACCTTGCGCCAACATGCCCCTCACCATTCCCTTCCTGGCTCTCGACAGCTTTACCAAAGACATACGTACTCTCATCCAACACCGCAAAGACCTTCATCTCCCCCACACACCGACTCCACGAAGCTGCTCACAAGACACTACGCGCCCGGCTCCACAATCACCGACAATGGGAGGACAGCTTACTCACACCAGCCGACCCATCTGACCTCCCCTGCGCCTGCGCGCATCTGAAGACACTTCTTCCTGATCCCGACAGCCCCGCCACCAACGACCACTACATCCTCACTCTTGACCAACGAAGCTGTGGATAAGAGTGGGAAGGGATTCTTGGCCAGTTTCCTGTACCTGCACCATGACACTACTCCAGTTTTCCCTGCTGTGTTTTGATGCCATGGTTCTTGCGTGATAGACCCCAAAACCGTGTCCTCCACCGTCGCGCAGCTGCGCCACCGCCGCTTTCCGCGATTTCTGAGCACTTGAAAACCCTTTGTTAAAACACCTTCTTTTTTTCGGACTCACTCGCCTTGTCGTTCCATCGTTCCTTTCTGCGTGGAATTGAGGTTAGAGGCCATCGAAGGCAGGTTGAGAGGCCATCGCTAGAAGGTTGGTGACAAGAAACTACAAGACAGCAAAGCAGTCAAAGTTGGAGGTCTTCGCTCTTAGGTTGGAGGCCGTCGAAGGCAGGTTGAGGGGCCATCGCTAGTAGGTTGGTCAAAGTTGGAGGTCTTCGCTCTTAGGTTGGAGGCCGTCGAAGGCAGGTTGGGGGCCATCGCTATAGTAGGTGACAAGAAGCGCAAGACAAACAGACAGCAAAAGTTGGGGGTCCATTCTAGTGGGTGGAGGCCAAAGTTCAGGTTAAAGAACCCCTTACAAAGTTTGGAGGCCTACCTGCAACCTATAGGGTGGTCTAGAGGAGAACAGAAGGAAAGGCAGTGTGTCGAGTATCTCCTAAGTAGTGGAACAGGTACAGGTGGATGATCAGTCCACCCATCCCTCGTCATACCGTAGCTTCATTGCGTACGGTGGGTATGACGAGCCGTACGCCCCTGTTCCAAAGCTTAAAGGTTCCCTTTGATTCCAAGGGGTACACACACACACTCACTCACTCTCTCCCCCGCTCTCTCACTCTCACTCTCTCACTCTCACTCTCCACTCACACACGCTCACACTCACACTCAGCCACTCACTCACTCTCACTCTCACTCTCACTCTCACTCTCACGCTCTCGCTATCGCTCTCGCTCTCGCTCTCGCTCTCTCGCTCTCTCGCTCTCTCGCTCTCTCGCTCTCGCTCTCGCTCTCGCTCTCGCTCTCTCGCTCGCTCTCTCGCTCTCGCTCTCTCGCTCTCTCGCTCTCGCTCTCTCGCTCTCTCGCTCTCTCGCTCTCTCGCTCTCTCGC